GAAGTTTCCTCGCGCGTGCGATCGTCCATTCCCGGATTTGAGTTGGCGTGCAACATACACCCGTAGATTAGATTCGGCTGCATTATCCCAACTACGTGATCTACATGTCCAGAAAGCGTGTCTCGCAATCAGTAAATTTTGGCTACGAGACATATCGGCATATGAGCGATATCGGAAACCATCATCGATTCTCCCTTCAACCACGGATTCGCCAAAATGTGCCATTAGATGAAAATTGATTCGTAATCGCTCGCACAAATTCAGCAATTTGCTTACAAATTGTGTCAATGTCATCTACATATTTTATGTTAATTTTTTAACATAAAATTTTTACATAACAATTTTGTTGCATAATATTTATTTACTATTTTCTAACATATTCATTTTGTATTAAATTAACATTTAAACAGATCGCTTTGGGACACATCAAATATATTAAATTTCATACAAATTTTCCAACTATGTACTTTTCTCCAATGCTTAAAAGTAGAAAACTAGAAAAAAAGTACATTAAACTGAGTTTATTGAAGTTACTTTACATTGGTATAAATAGACATAAGTTTTTTAAACTAAGAGTTTCGAACGATGTTATCGTGCGTGGCACGATAGTCGCTGTGCGACCATACGTGACTTTCTTTCTTTCCTATCCCGAAGAAAACTTCATATCCTATGACTTACGGTAATGGCGCGTTCTAAGCGAGCGGGCAGGAGCGCGCGGAAAAGCGCCGCTCGCCCGAACATAGTAAAGTGACGGCAAAGTGCTCGTCAAATTATAGGTATGCACTCGGGAAACGTTTACCGCACCGTTGGAGCATACTCGCCGGTACGGTGGTGCGTTATACGCCTGCTCGACACGAATTTTCAGGAGAATCCCTAGGTCTTCACCCAAGGGAAGGTGAGAGAGCGACGGAATGCAAGGAAGGCGGACCACTTTTGCTCCTGGTAATTTCATTATTCTGAGACGGCTCCTACATCGCGAGCATCTCTATATCCTATCTCAGTTCTGGAAATTCAAGTCAATTCGAGCTTTCCGACCAATGGTGTATGAAACGAACCATTCGAAAGGCGAAAGAAAAAACACTTATACTCCACTTCTGCACTTCGAGATCGACCCATTAATAATGCACGTTTTAAGTGCAATAGCATTAAGAGACCATTAGTACGCGCCAAACACGTGGAAAGAAAGATTTACATATAGTTATATCAAGTTTGATGAAGCGCGCGCGAAAGAAGTTCGGAGTTGAATCGGATTTCGTTAATCGCAACTTGCGACGAAAGTTTCACATCTCTTATTATTAGAATCCTGATTTCGTGAGAGAACAATTCTACTTTATTTCCTTTTTTCTTTTAAAGCTGCTACACTGAGAGAAAATATCGAAGCAAACGTTTTCTTCGATATTTATTAATTGTGAAAAAATTTATAAGGAATATACATTTCTATGAAATACATCTGATTAATATCTGATTAATTATAAAAAAATAAAGTACATAGCTGGGAAGAAAATTTTATTCCGTCGTATTTAAATAAAGACTTATTTCAGTGAAATAAGTATATTTCTCACAAATAAATTTTTAAGTATCTTTTTCTCAATGTGTACTCTCTAAAATTATTTAAAATTATTTAATATTTAAAACGGAATATAACTTTAAAAAATGAAATCTCACTCTTAAAAATTGATAATTAAACCACTCCTTTTCAACACTGGTTCTAGAATTATATTCCACCCCAAAAATTTCCGAGATATTTTTATATAAATAAAACGCAATAAAAAGATGTGAAGGAAAATAATCCTCATTTATCATAAAGCTGGGCGGAGACACCGCGCACAAATTGACTCGTTTATCGACGATTCCAGGCCGGGCCAATTTTTGCTACCCCAGATATCAGATCGTAATTCACAACGCAATGTGAAATATTCAACATCCATCATTCACGTCGTATCTGGGCAAATTCGAATTCAAAGATCCTCTAAGCTAGGGTTGCTGACTCTTTGCGGACGTGTAAGCGCGTCGACTGGTATGAATACTCGTCATGTTATCTCTAATACACGCGACGAGCATTCTGCAAGTTATTTTAGATGCACATTCGCCTTCGTACGCGTCGACTATTTAGATTTTACCTAGAATAGAAACGCGCTAAGGACAGACAGACAGACAGACCAGATAACTGGATTGAATTTGGCACACGGATCGGTCTAATTATTTATAAATAGGAGGACTCGTTACATGCGATACGATATGTATTGTTAATTATTATGAATAATATATAAATGCTTCTTATAGCGAATCGAATTTCGGTGTGCTTGTTTTTTAATTTCAATCATCTCTATTGACAAAAATTAATAATATAACAATTGAAATATTTTGTGTATATCTATAAAAAGATTTTTTATCAATTTAACGCAATATTACATACTCAGAGAAAAATATACAAGATAGTAGCAGCTATACAAGTTTTATATATAGAATGTACATAGTTGAATAAATAATTTTATAGTTTGCAGCTATAAAATAATTTATTTTACCATGTACATTAATTCTATATATGAAACTTGTATAATTATCACACTCTTGTTAAAGTTATAATATTAATTTGTATCAAATTCGATTTGTAATTTTTATAGGTCGCCATTTTTATTAAATATGTCAATAATTTAACTGAAATAATAGAATTGGACAATTCAAGAAATGTATTAAATTTGACTCAAATTTAGTTTATTATTTACAAAGTGCATACGTGTTAATATGAACGTTGTTTACTTTGAAACCAAACACATAAATGTATTGATTTACATTTTGACGCATGTACAATTGAAATTAACAAATGTTATTCTGAAGGAATTGGTTATCATTGCTTTTTTGATATCCGACGTTAATAATGCCGTTTTGATCCGACATTAATAATCAACTATATTTTTTTCTGAGTGCAATGTAATTATTTAAATGCAAATAAGATATTCGAAACCTTCAAATACAATTTCAGCGAAACATGCATAGCAATTAAATCAAGATTATTTATCATCATCTTACACTGTTAAATTCATCACATTAAATTCTACTTGAGTTATTTTAATTATTTCTATCGGTCGCCACTGCTTCTATTAAATATGCCGTTAATTTAACTAAAACGATGGAATTAAACCATTTAATTCAAGAAATTAACATTAAATTTGACTCAAATTTAGTTTAGTATTTAGTTTATTAAGTGCATACGTATTAATGTGAACATTGTTTACTTTGACTAAACACATGTATTGAAATACATTTTGATGTGCATAGAAGTTAAAATTAACGAAATGTTATTTGACTGGAAGGAATTAGATTACTATTGCTTTTTTTTACATCCACACTGTTAAATCACTCTATATAGAGACACTATATATAGAGGAGACATATACACTCTATAATTTGACACTCTATAGTGTCAAATTTAATATAATTTAAGTCACCATTGCTCCTATACTCAATAAATCGTTATTTTATACTAAAACAATGAATATATTTGACACTATATAGAGTGCATTCCATCAATAACTCTCACAATGCTCGCATGTATTATCTCATCCCTGTTTAATATTTGATGACAAAAAGGATCAAATAATATTCGCGAGTGTTGTTAACATTAAGTGGAACGCACCCACAGTGTCAAATCCGTTGTTTTAGTATAAAATGATATATTGAGTAGAAGCAGTGGCGGCTTTATAAATTAGATTAAATTTGACGCTATAGATTTAACAGTACGACAGTATTTATAATGCCACCATATTTTTCTCTGAATGTAATGTAATTTATTAAGGTATTCAAATATAAAACCTTTAACAATCAGCGAAACACTGCAATTAAATCAAGATTATTTATCATAGTTAAATTTACAATGTTAAATTTATACTTCCAACTTGAGTTATTTTTAATTATTTTTATATATCATTAATTTAACTAAAATAGAGATTAAATAATCTAACTCAAGAAAATGTATTAAATTTCATTCAAAAATTTAATTTATTATTTAAATAAATGCACATGTTAATATGAACGTGATTCACTTTAAAAACTAATCATAGAAATTGATTAATTTCTATTTCACAACAAGCACGCAAGAAGTTAAATGTTATTTAACTGAAGAAATTGAGTGAAATAATATTTCCATCGCCCCTCCTTTGATATCTAGCAATATAAGTCTTACTTTGAATAAAAAGATTTAATGCTTCGATTGCAACACAGCGTGATTCACAGCGTGATTTGAAGAAATAAGAACCCGGCACATCATCTTGTTGCTCACGTCACCCATGCATAACACTCGATGCAATCACCTAACCCGTTCTCTATCAATTATCATAGCTCCTAAACTAAACGATCTATTCCAATCTATATCTCATTCGCGGCATCATCGGATATAAATAAATCATGCCCTAAATATTACCATTGACGAATGAGCATCGCTAGGTAGGTGATTTCCGCGAAAGAAGAGAAGACGGTTCCAGTTCCGCGAAACAACGTTGCAACTTTTCAATCACGACCACTTTGTCGATTCATTCTCAATAAACGATGCTTTCGGCCGGAGTACAAGCATCGGACAACTCGTACGGCGAAAATGAAAAAGAGGCGAAATACGCTTTCTTCGAAATAACGAACTTTAAATCTCGGCGATTCAAAGTAAACTTAAAACTTCGCAGGGTGAATGAGAAGCATGATATATACGTCGTTTGAGTCCCGGAGTCTCCGTCTTCGGGACACAAAATCAATTTCCAACTTTTTTCTAGCCCGGCTTAACTCAATTTTTGGCGACGCATCGAGTTAACTCTCTCCCTCGGTCCGTCGTTGTATACTTTCAAAATGAGATTTTTCGTTCTATATAGGAAAGGACGTATGGAACATTCCGTGGGAGAAAGTCAACAACGAAGTTTCCGAATGACGAAGTCACGGGACATCGGGGATACGAGAGAGAGAGAGAGAGAGAGAGAGAGAGAGAGAGAGAGAAAGAGAGAGGAATCGTGGCGTACCTTACGCGGCTCCGGTGCGTAGATTCCAGGTAAAGGCGTCAGCAGATGCAGACCAGCGGGATTCGGGATACCGGAGGCCGGATGTCCCGGCGGAATTGGCAGCGGCACCAGCTTCAAGCCCCAGGGCAGATACCACGGCGCCGTATGATGCATTCTGACTGGTGGGCTCTCTCAACCGACGGATGTATTCGGTCGGGCGAGGATCACGCTCCAGGATGTGCGATACGACGATGGGGGGAGGGAGGGAGGGGGCGGGTGGGAGCGAGAGACCGGGGAGCGTGTAAACGCCGAACCGACGAGATCCGGATCCAACGCGAGAAAAAGCACACGTTTCACGCGTATGTACGAGTGTTTTTTTCCTCGAGACGTCAGAGGGTGAGAGATGTGAGGGGAGAGACGATCACCTTGACATTTTTCGAGATGGCTGTGGAGTGCTCCAGCACGAATGTTCTTTTCCTCTCTCGATTAGCGCCCGCTTCTCTCCCTCGCGACGGCTTTCCACGCGAACGGAAAGGCGCGTCACACAAGGCTCGAAGGATGCGAGAGACGATTACGCGCGACGATTACCGTCGTCATCGTTGCGCTCAAAAAAAGTGCATCAGGAACAGCGCTGCGCGCGGATCACGTGACGCACACTGTGCGTGCGTGAGTTTTATATACGCACACGTATGAAGAACGAGAGAGGGAACGCTCGCGTAGATATAACACGTTCGTCTCGCGAGAAGATATCCCTCAGACAACAAAGATCCGTTCGGTGCGAGCGCGCGGCGTCGACTGATCGAGCGTCTACGATGCGAGTGGCGAGCACATGGCCGCGCGCGTCGACTCCCACCATTCCCTCCACCCCTCACTGCACTACCGGCCACCACAGACTGCCGCAAACGAGTTTACTTCGAATTATGCAAAATGTAATTATTGACAAATACCTAAATTACATTTCTCTGATCTCGAACTTATTCTTATAGAATCGTTAAAGTGAAAAATGTCTTGAAGAATTTCGAATCATCGAGTGAAATTTCCTGCAGTGTCTGATTTTTTTGTCATTGTCTCTATTTTTACAACGATTAAGAGCAGTTCTCTGTAAATTTGTGAAGAACGATATTCATTTCATCCATTTATGTTCATTTCTATTAATATAAATTAACTTTAATCTCAATTTAAATTAATTTTTATTCTTTTTTTTTTTATTCTTGAAGATTCTTATAGATAAAAATAAAAAAATGAGTTAAACGGAGATTAAAATTAATATATATTGTTAAACATATTAGTGTTGTAACTTTTGTCATGATATTCTGAAATCTTTTAAGTAAATTTGACTTGAAAGAAATCTCACTCTTTTTCGAGATTCGCTCGATTTCTATTTTTTAGAGTGATTTTCCATTTCAAAGAATTTAAATGTAATTATCGATAAATATCTAAATTATATTCTGATCTCAAACTTTTATAAAAACCCTTAAAGTAAAAATTATTTTAAAGAATTTCGAGTTAAGTGAGATTTTCTGCAACCTCTTATTTTTATCGCCATTGTCTATTATTTTTACAATGAATGAGAGCAGTTCTCTATAAATTTGAAAATCGACATTTAATCCATTTATGTTCATTTCTATCAATGCAATGTAAATTAACTTTAATCTCAGTTTAATTTAATTTTTTTTAATTCTTAGAACAAGAAGAAAAATAAAAAGTGAATTAAACCGAGATTGAAGTTAATCTACATTGATAAAAATAAACATTAGTTCTAACTTTTGTCATGATACTTTCTTTTAAAATGGATCTCACTTTGAAGAAATCTCACTTTTAAAGATTGAAGATTGAATCACTCTTTTTCAAAATTGGCTTAATTTTTACTCCTAAAAGAGAGTCTAAAGAATTTAAAGAATTAGTATCAATTTTATTGTACTGCGCTAAAATTAAAAACACATTTTTTTAATGTTTGTACAATTGGAAAAATTATGTTTTTAATACATTTCACATGTCCCAAATGGTCCACAAATTTTTGTGTTAGTCAGACAAGATAAATATATTAGGAAACAACTCAGTTATTATGTAAAAAATTAATATAAAAACGTGGCAATGATACATCTTTTAAGCAATCTTAAATATTCATTGATCAAAATTAATATTTATAATATTTACAATTATAATTTTAAATTAACATATTTCAATAAATTTAATTTGTAATATTAAACTAACATTTTCATCATCACATTTCATCAAAACATTATCAACATCATTTATGTTAGAATTTAAGATTTTAAAAAAGATAATTTTTATATTATTTATTCATTTGCTCATAAACTACGTTTTCTTTTTATATTAAGAAATGTTGAACATCAGTTTAACACAAAATATATTCAAATAATACAATTACATTAAATTAACATTAAGATATATTAAAAATTCAACACAAAATTTTAACAAGGACTTGAGCGAAGCGTCTCTAACACAAATAAAAAATGGTTTTTATTATATAAGTCTTATGTAGATTTGTGTATAAAACACATCATTCTTATGTAACATTTCATGAAAATTATCGATAAATTTACACTGATATTTTTAACTCAACTTGCGATAACAATTTATAAAAGAAATATAAAATTTTACAGAATTGTGAGCACAGAATTAGAAAACTTTTGATAGACAGAGGAATCATGCAGCCAGAGGAATATTCGGGACTAAATTCGGTAACTTTGTTCCAAGGAAATCTCATTTCTACGCTGGGAACCGATGGTGCGTGGACATCGTAGAATCGAGCTTTGATGTCAGAAGGCACGTTGCGACGAGCATTGACTCGCTCACGAGAATTAAGGGATATATCCACCGAGTGATAACTTATGCTGAATCCGAATCATTCAGTTCGCTGACTCGCTGATTTCGGAATAAACCCGGTCGGTCCACTGAACAGAAGCACTTGACGCATGTCTACGTCAGAGATATAACAGAGATTCAATTCACGAGTAATCTATATGTAACCACGAGAGAGAGAGAGAACCGATGTCAATGCAAACTGAAGATGTAGCGGAGAACGTAAAACCTCTATGTAACGATAATAAAAAAGTTCACGAGATAAAACAGCTAATTTTAGTTGAAATAATTGAAGGTGCAAATAAGAAGTATAGGAGCTATATGATGCGCAAATAACAATAATTAATCACTGTCGTGATAATTAACGATAAAAGTAGAAAAATAGCAACCGACGTGACAAAGTAATCACTCAATATGGGCTTTTCGGAGCAGCCAATGGTCTATGGTGAAGAGATAAAAAGAAAGTTTTCTATATTTTATGATAAAATAAGAAAGGAAGATTAAATTTTGCACTTCACGGTTCAATCGTAGTTCAGCATAGCGCTTTAATTAGAAAGTAAATTTACGGCATGCCATATCCGAGCCGATACTCGTGTCTGGAATGCATGGGTAATTCGGAGGAATTATAATTGAGTATAGTTTAATTAGACTGTCCTGAAGTTGGAGGTACACCCGACAACTGACCCCATCTAACTTCAATCCCGGAGACGGCTCGTGTCCGTCGTAATGCGACCCCCGTCGGCTCGATTATATCACTTATTTATCGATATTACTTTACAAATTATGTAAACTTCAGGCAAGTTCTTAGTCAATGATGATGCGAACGGCAAACATATAACTTGTATCAATATTAAGGAAGATGGAAACACGACATTATACCGAGTCGATGTATTCGAAGTAGAACTGGAGCGACCGATGTTTCGCGGCGCACACTGAGGTAGAAAGACAAATATCTTGCGTGTAAACACGTGATGTGTTTCCCTCCATTCACTTTCGAGCCGCAGAGTGACGTCGGCCATTTCATTTCCATGGCATTGAAATGTATATAGGGTACGCTTGAAAAGACAGGGAATCAATAGCAAGAACGGAGCTTTTCTATTTACACGATGTACATAACCGTGTAATTCGCAAAAATTTCTTGTGACTGTCGTTTATAAAAGAAAGATGATCGATGCTCGCCTATCGACATATCTGTCGCTTCTCATTCAGCTTTCGGTATCCTACATTCAAGCGAAGCTCCACGCACTGTATCATGGAAGACGGATATATCGACTCGTAAAACAACGTTTATCTGTATGAACGATCAATTTCTTCAATTGCCTTCCTCGATACTGCTGCCAGCGAATAATTGCGCGAAATGCACTAGATGTAATGTGTCAAAGTAAATATTGACAAACGATTCGCACACGAGAAATTGCCGATTAATATTAATACGCTGATGATATTTCTTGCTAATAATGGTTTTATCACTTTCGGAAAGTTTCCTGACTCATTGATTAACGATTCTGTTAATTGGATGTATTATACATTAGGATGTATTTGATATATTTTCAAAATGATGAAAAAGTTATGAAAAAATTAGATTATTTTAAATCGCTTTTTTAAATAATAAAAAAAGTTCAGTTTACCATCTGGATCAAAAGTTATTTCAAAATAAGTAATATTATTTTAATCTGCGTTTTTAATAGAAATGTATGGAAATGTATTATAAAATAACGATAAAAATCTTAATTTTTTCATACTTTAAGTATTCGAGATGATTTATGTAAAGTCACATTACGCAATTAGTTGTTTCGTAAATAAACAAAATATTTATTTCTTCTAAATCTTTGTAAAGTCTAATCTCTGAATCACAATCAAACTTTAAATCATTTTGAATAATTAAAATACTTATGCAAAAACATTGAACTTTTTTATCATTACTTTTACAATTTTAATTTATAAAAACAATGATAAATAAAGTAAATAAACAATAAAAAAATAAATTGTTAAAAACATAACTGTTTTATGTACATAGTTTATTTAAAAATAATTTATACTGTAAATAACTCCTATATACATAATTTATATACACAATTTATTTAAAGTATAAATTATTAATTGTAAAAATATAATACATCCTTAATATATCCTTATGAACACTTATAAGAATCAGAAGCGAGCACAAAAGAAATTCTCTACTGGGAAAAACTTATTATTCTAGCAAAATTGAAACCCGGTTCAATTATAATCAAGTCTCAAAGGTGCTTCGTCTAGCGATTCTACAAGGAGTTCCGACATTGTTATTCAGTTTAACGGAGCAGCAAAAAGGATGAGAAAAGCAACTGAAAACTTGGTGAGAGGAAGAATCCATGAGCTGCTCGTGACATCGTATTAATCCAATCGAAGTTTTGCCTAGGAATCGAAAGAATACTATCGACGACAAAATTTGCAAACAAAACTTTTCCTATTCGTATTGCAATAAAATTTACATTTCCACGCGCATTTCCGAATTGGTAAAATGGATCTCAAGAATATTAACTGAGACGACCGCAAGCGAATATTTTAGTTATTCCCATAAAATTTGCGGGATATTAGTAAAATATAGGCAAGAAGAACTTCTACGTAAGTTTTTCATATTTTCTACTGGTCAAACACTTCAACTTTCGAAACTTTTTATACGTTTTTTATCGAGATCAAAGTTTCGAATACTACGTAAAAATAAGTTACAAACAAAAAGAATTAATCTATTGGAAAAAAAATCGTCTGGCGATCGCAAAGGCTAGATTTTTGAGCCTGATTCGCGACCTGAAAACTTTAAAAGATCCTCATTCGTAGATAAAAGCCAAGAAGCTTCGCGTGCATTATCGTAAAGTGTATTCGTCGCAAACACATTTCGCGGTTGATGCGGCAAACCACATATTCTTTTGTTCGTGGTCATATATATAT